CACTCTTTCTTTGAAAAATTATGTATTTGTGTTCTGATTCAGTATGGTGTTTTGAAGATTAGCTTTTAATTATCTTTGGTCTAATGCTTTAGTTTCTGAGTAACACATCATCTGTAGATGTCATGCGTTTAAGAAGTATGCTGCCAAGTACCATATGGCAAATGCCTCTTTCTGGTGTTTTTCGAATAAATGGAGCATTATACTCTTTCTTTGAAAAATTATGTATTTGTGTTCTGATTCAGTATGGTGTTTTGAAGATTAGCTTTTAATTATCTTTGGTCTAATGCTTTAGTTTCTGAGTAACACATCATCTGTAGATGTCATGCGTTTAAGAAGTATGCTGCCAAGTACCATATGGCAAATGCCTCTTTCTGGTGTTTTTCGAATAAATGGAGCATTATAATTTAGTTAGAAATTAGCTATGTTTTGGAGCTGCATCAATGGAAAGGGTTTACTAAGATGTGTTTCTTCATAGAGAGGGCTATTGTTAATCTAAGTTCAGTCAGGGTTTCAATGAACTAGATAATTTTTATGGCAATACTTTGTTTTATGAAACCTGGAAGGGAAGGAAGAGCCAAAATTCAATGTTAAAATGTTTTAATTATAATTTCCATTGTTTCTAGTTATATTAAACCTGGTTTAAGCATTTTCAGTTTCACCTCAGTTTTTGATCATGTGTATTAAAAAGCTAAATTGAAATGGAAGTGGAGTCAATATAAATGGCAATCAGGAAAATCACTTAAGTTTTGTGGATAGTTATGTATTTATCAGTAAGATGGATACCACATATTTATTGGGGGAAAACATTGCAGGAGGATGGTGAAAAATTGCTGAATGACAATTAAAGAAATGACTTATGAGTTTGACTGTTAGTATATGTGTATATAATAGAGCTGGTGACTGGTCTCATCTATACAGCATAAAAACACCTCTACTCCATATTTGTTCTGCAAGAACAATTCCTTTCAATGACCGCTATAGTGTTTAGTATAACAATAGTTCAGTCTCAGGTATATAAAAAATGTTATGCCCTAGTCAGAATAGCTCAAATTATAATGCAGCTAAATTCTGTATTTATCATGCAGAGCTGAGATGCAGAAACCTATTGTGTAAATGAGGTAAAAGATAAAGGCCAGTTTCTTAGATTGTATTCTTGGGTATAATTATGCTGAAATCAGTGGAATTAGATTTATTTACATTACTCAATTTTTCTCCTAGTATTTTGTCTTTATGAACCCAATCTTTCCCATATATCTAAAGAATAAACAGTAGTGGAAGTATGAATCTGAATATTTCCAGATAGACTAATACACTGAAGTATTTCTGACACCACTAACGTAATACTTATCTAAGATTATTAAATGTATTGAAAAATAACAGTGAGGTACGGTGAAAGAATTTAAGTTCTCTTTTGTTAAAATAATTATTTGTGGTTACTCTCAGCAATAAAGCCTTCTTATACATTCTGAATAACAATTAAGTGAAGCATGAAGTCTCCTACTCAGTATCTTTAGGATTTGGGGCAAGGATTTAATGTCCTCCTCTTTTGCCCCCAAATCATGTAGTAGTTTGTAATTTATACTAAGGAATATCTCTGCAGTTTCCACCATTGAATAGTTATGGCTAAATTTTCTTCTTAGTTATACTATTGTAAATCAAAAATAATTCCACTGAGTTTCTCCAGATTTTCACTCAGATAATTAAAATCAGAATTAGAAGTCTAGATTAGGGATGTTAAGGACTAGTCGACTAGCCACATCCCCTTCACTTTCCCTATCAGATAGAAGCAGCAAGAGGGGAAGAAGACGGGGGTACTTCAAAGCAGCAGCACAGCATGGAGGCCGGCATCCTGGTCTCCGTGCAGCGCTGCCACTTTGAAACGCTGAGGCAGTCACTCCCTATTCACTACCTATTCCCATACTTTACCGAAAAGAAATATTTTATACTTCTCATAATCATATAATATGGACAATAATCCATCGAAGTGCTGCATTGTTCTGAAACATCCTATGGAAGAAAATGCAGCTGTTATGAAATTGTCCAGTGAATTATGAATGGTAATTTATCATTGATGTATCAATTAGTACCATATTTTCATAATAGAGACTTAGCAGCAGCCACAATGAAAATTATTATGTATTTTTATTGCAGGGATCAGAAGGGTAGCTGTGTTAGTCTGAATCTGCAAAAGCAACGAGGAGTCCTGTGGCACTTCATAGACTAACAGATTTATTGGAGCATAAGCTTCTGTGGTCAAAGACCCACTTTGTCAGATGCATCTGACATGCATCTGACGAAGTGGGTCTTTGCCCACGAAAGCTTATGCTCCAATAAATGTTAGTCTATAAGGTGCCATAAGACTCCTTGTTGCTTTTATTTATTGCAGGTGTCTCTTCCATGCATACAACACTCATCTTTACACCTCTCTTATCGTCTTTATCATAAAGGCCATGCTGTGATAACTAAGGTTACTGTAAACGTACAAAGGTGACTGTTTCTTTTTTGTCCTTTTAGATGTTTGCCTAATTATTGTGAGCATGGTGGTGAATGCACACAGTCCTGGAACAGCTTCTTCTGCAACTGCACTAACACAGGTTACATGGGAGCTACTTGCCATTACTGTAAGATCAAAATCTTTTACTGGTTTAGTTATGAGTTATTGTACTGTACAAGAAATACATGTCTATTAAAAACATTTCACTATTCTTAATACAAATAGTTTACAAGAACAGGTTCAAGGAAAGAGTTTCTAAATTATCGAAAGGATTAAGGAACACAAATCCTATTACAATTCAATGAGACTAGTCATCCTAAATCATTTGTATCTGAATATTTCTCCCTTAGTTCATAGATTTCATGATTTACTTAGGTGGACCTGATTCTCCTCTCATACTGGTATAAAGGGCCTAATTTAGCAAAATGTTGCTACTCAGCAAAAGCACTAAGCACATGCTTAACTTTGAAGTCAATGGGGTTTAGCATATACCTAAACTTCAGCACATGCTTAACTAATTTTCAAAATCAGGAGCAACTTCAAGTGAGTGACAGTGGGGTAAAAAATGCCCTATCCCCCAGGCCACTCTAGAACCCACCCCACCTCCCTAACTTCATGGCGTCCCTTATCCTGCCTTCCTAATTGGAGAGCCAGGTCCATCCCTGGGGCTGCCGGTGTTAACAGGGGTAAATGGGAGAAAAGAATGAAGCCATGTTAAACAAATCCAGCAAGCACATCACTTAGCTTTCATTCATCTGTAGAAGTTCTACACATGGAGTCCTTTGCAGGGTCAGCCTATGGATAAGGGAGAATTTCAAAACATATTAGTGTAGCCATAAAAGTATCTGAATGAGCTTAGTGATAGAAATGTAGCCGTGTTAGTCTGGGGTAGTTGAAGCAAAATGCAGGACAATGTAGCACTTTAAAGACTAACAAGATGGTTTATTAGATGATGAGCTTTCGTGGGCCAGACCCACTTCCTCAGATCAAATAGTGGAAGTGAATGAGCTTAATACCCAGCATCTGATTCTTGCCTTACTTTCACTAATTTAATATAACGCCACTGATTTCACATGAAGTGATCTAGATTTACACTGGCATATGTGAAATGAGCATGAAGCCTGGTAGGGATGGGGCTTTTTTCTGTTTAAAGGGACAGCTTATAAAGGAAAGCCATTGGTCTTTTGTTCTGAGCTCTATAAAAAGAATGATGTAAATACCAACATGACTATATATTATTAAAGTGAAAATGTAAAAATGGTGTGGTTAAAACAAACCCCTCCTTACACAATTTATACAATAGCCCAATAGCACAATAGCCACAACTTTTGTAGTGTTTAAGGCCAGAAGGGACCACTAGGTCATCTAGTCTGATCTCCTCGTAGCACAGGCTACCAACACTATCAAGCAGCCACACACTAAACCCAACAACTGAAATTAGACCAAAGTATTATAGAGCCATAGGAGACCTAAATATTCTAGACTGAGGTGAGTCATTGCTCAATGCCTCTGCAGTGGCGCAGAAATTAAATGAGATATACATAGGCAATCCTGACAAGTGACCCACACCCATATCTTGCAGAGGAAGGAAAAACCCTGCCAAAGTCACACTCAATCTGACCTGGAGGAAAATTATTCCCCATCTGAAATCCTGAAGCATGAACTATAGGAGCATAGGACATAAACTAGAAGTGTGTCCCAGGGCTGTTAAGCTAAGCCTGCAACTGCCACAAACAACTGGTCATATAGTTGCATTAATAAATTAGTCCATCTCTCCCAAAACTAGTTAAGTTGTTTCCTCGCCAAGCTCCTATTGAGAATCAGGTGGAAAATGGAGTTCTGGTCTGTTCTGAAACAAATTAAGAATTTGAAGAAACTGCTTGTTGCCATTGAATGCCAAACTTTATAAAGACTTTTTCTGTGACATCTAAACTCTAAGAAGCATGAATTGTTGCCATTGAATGCCAAACTTTATAAAGACTTTTTCAGTGCCATCTAAACTCTAAGATGCTAGGTAGCGTTGCAAGATTTATGGATAAGGTAAACTTTTTATAGGAAGGGAGGAACATTGATGGAACAGGCTTTTTCACAGATCATTGTGAGCATCATAATTTTTAATAAGTTATCTACTTATGAAGGGTGTAAAAATAGCAATGCATACCATCACTTTCTAATGATCAGCACTTTTCATCAAGAGTCCAATGGTGTGTGCATAAGGTGTATGACAGTCTTCCTGCTCAATTTTAATGTTGAAAAATAGAGTACTTTTTATCAAGAAAGCACTGTGAAGTATACAAGTTGATATTATGTAGTAGTTGCAATGGCATATCATTTTGTCCTTTTACATTTGTTTACGGTAGCTTAGTAATGGTTACAACTTTACAGTTTTATGATGCTGTTCTGTCAATAATTTGAAAGTTAAGGGCTGTATTCTATATTCTATGTACTAAATTCCCATTGACTTAAATGACAGTTCTGCACAATTACAGAAAAAGATAATATGGGCATTTTGTTATTGAATGAACATTGGGACTCTTGATATAATAAGCTTAGCAATGAGTTCTTGATTAATGGTAACATTGTATCGGATCATACTCCCTGAATCTGCTTCAGAGGAATTATAATTTTTCATGCTGTTGCTACTAGTATAACATTCAAAATGGATATGATGTTATGTCATTGCATACTGCCTCTATAAGACTTTTATCCTTTTTATTTTATACTGAGAATTGATTTAAGGCTTCTTACCCTTGGAAGCCATAATTTAAAACTTGACTATGACCGTGTCTACTGGGTATTTCAGCAATCAAAAAAATTGGTTTATTTAGTAATTTTAGTTTAATGAGGACATTTGGTTTCTTAACTTATAATTCAATATTATGGACCTAATTGAATATGAACATATTGTAATGAGTCAGCAAAATAACTGGGAAAAAAATGATGCTCACCATACTCCAGATTCTTTGTTTGGGAGATTTTACATTGGCTTCAAGAGAAGTTGAATCAGGCCCTGAAAGTTGTTTACTGCATGAAGTGATTTGGTCAGCCTTAAAATTAGTGCTCTCAGACTTTCATGCGAAATAGATCTTCACATCACAGAACTACTGTCACAATTTACATTGTGAAACCCTACTTGAAAGAGGTGTGAAGACCAAATAGACAAGTAGCTGAGCCAAGCAGTTTTCTGTGCCAGTTCAGGGAACAGACATCAGTGACGCTCACGTTGTTTATGCCACTGCTGCTCCTGCTCTGTATATTAACATTAGATTTTAGCTATCAATGCTGTAAATTCCAGCACTTTTCAAGAAAGGTATCTTATTTTGTGTAATAGTATATACAATTGAAAATCTGAATAAACTGAGTTTAAGTAGAAAAAGTATTTTAGATCAAATCCCTTCTTCAGTGTTCCTGATTCCTTTTGTGTTGTGTTTTCATTTATACTGAATATTGAAAAGAGTGTGATATTCATTTTTTCTGTATTTTTTTACAAATATCTTTTAAAAAATACAATGTTGTAGCCATGTTGGTTCAGAATATTAAGGAGATAAGGTGAGTCTTATTGGATCCACTTCTGATGGAGAAAGACAAGCTTTCGAGCATACATACACATAGCTCTTCTTCAGAACTAAAGAGCTCTGAGGAAAAGTAAAAGCTTGTCTCTCTCATTAACAGAAATTGGTTAAATAATAGATAGCACCTCATCCACCTTGTCTCTGTCAGAAAGAAAATGTCCTTAACAAAGTATATTTAAGTTAGAAAAAAGTCAGTTGGAGAACTGTGTTAAGTAAACTGTAAATTTTAAAAGGAAGACCTCTAGCATGACTACTAGATGACTACTAGATGACCTCTAGAATGACTACAACTATAATTTAAGAAGGTTGAATTGATGCACTTTAGATGTACAATTATTACTCAGCAATATGATTCTCTTAATAGTTTGTTGCCATTTAATTATAGAGCTGGACTCAGAAGTCCAGTTTCCAATAATTGGTCTTATAGAGCCTTCTCAGATCCCTCCATCTTGGATGGTACATAATCTATGTGAGAAGGAGGAGCCAAAATATTTTCTGTCCTGTTTATTTATTCTTGGACTGCAATCTTTGACAAGTTTACCCTGATACTGGAAAAAAAATTAAAGGAAGAATCAAGATCTGCAGAGCAGCCAAAAGCATGAGCAAAATGTGTCAGAAAATATGTATTTCAGTTGGAACTGCTGGAAATATATACCCTTGCCAAATTGTATGTAATAAGTCTGAAGAGCTGATTAAATTGAAAAGGTTAATGTTCAGTTTACAAGTTCCTTGTAATCTGAAAATGAAGTTTGTTGCTCAATATTATTCATCTTGACATTAAGTAATCAGTTTCCATAGCCATTTGTCCTTCCCTTAGACCCCCAATTTAGGAGGCAAAAAGAAAATCCATAGAAACATCCATTCAGATTCCTCCCCAGTGAAAACAAATTCTATTTACTGATGCAAATAATAGTACAACTTTTGGTTTTTTTACTGTGTGACTTCCCCCGTTTTTCTTACTTTGAAATCCATGTTATATTGTCCAACTTCCCACATTTTTCCATCTCCCGAATAAAAGGTAAAATGATGCCATTAGGTTTGTAATGGAAGATGTTCTTTTTCAGCCATCTATGAGCAATCATGTGAAGCCTATAAGCACACAGGGAACACGTCAGGCTTTTACTATATCGACTCAGATGGAAGTGGCCCGTTGGGACCATTTCTAGTATACTGCAATATGACAGGTGAGTTGATAAACTTCATACCTGGACCTGTATGCATGCTCATTATATCCATACAAATAGGAAGTTCTGTAGCTCATGACTTTAATGTACATGTGTACAGCAAAATAAAGATGACTCCTCAACTCAGAATATTGGGCAAAGAATTAACTGTAGAAATTAGAATAATACGACACAGATTGAAGCTAACGCTCCGTTCCTGTTGTGCACTGCATAAATGGGACATGTGCCCTATTTGTGGAACATTTCAGACTACTTCATTGTCTGCACAGTTTTGATTTCACAAAGTTAGATCTTACTTTATACGCATTTTAAGAAACTGAAATATAAGAATCAGAGGGGTAGCCGTGTTGGTCTGAATCTGAAAAAGCGGTGAGGAGTCCTGTGGCACCTTATAGACTAACTGAAATGTTGGAGCATAAGCTTTCGTGGGCAAAGACCCACTTTTTCAGATGCATGCTGAAATAAGAGAATTTTCTGGAGAAAATAATTGATTTTCCCTCCTTATAATTCAGATTTGACCTTTATTTGGTGGCAGGAATACTGATATAAATCTTCTCTTTTAAATTGTGTATTACTTGTAATTGTTTTGGGTAGACCTGGTTTAACTAATAAGACCCACATAGCACCCACAATCTGAGAGCAGTAAGATTTAGACATCCAATTGATCTTAACTGTGCCTATTCCTATGTGTGCCTGCAATTAACCACTAATAAGACCCACATAGCACCCACAATGTGAGAGCAGTAAGGTTTAGACATCCAATTGATCTTTACTGTGCCTATTCCTATGTGTGCCTGCTACATTGTAGATGCTAAATTATTTCAAAATCTGATATGTTTAAATTTTTATGCTGTGTTCTTTTAGTTTTAATTAGTTTTTCTTTAGGCTATGGTCATTTTTATAGAAATTTTCACTTCAATGGTTTTCTAGCACAAACCCAATATTGTAGAGTTAGCATTACAAACATTTCAGGGTACTTAAAAAAAAAACCTGTCTTTTGGAAAAATGAATAGAAATATTTCTTTTGATCTCATGTTCTATAAAAATTGATTTTTAAGTACATTTACCTGGGTAACAATTTTTAGTGCTTCTGAAACTTTGAGGGCTTTATTTTTCAACCCTAATAATATTCATTGAACATTGTTGGATTTTTTTATGTGTAATATGTTTACATTGAGGGAATATAGAGAGAATCTATAATAATCATGTTTGTCTTGAATGATTAGTAGGAGCCTAACATCTAAGACAGGGGTGGGGAAACTAAGGATGTGGCCCCCAGCTTGCCTGGATCTGATCCCTGAGGTCAAGGATCCCTCTCCCCCAGCACTGGGCAGCCCGTGGTCATTCTAGAACACTCCTGCCATCCTTCCATAGGGCTGGAGCACACAAAATCCACTAGCCTGGTCCTCCCCCAAGCTCTGGTGTGCATGCGAAATGTGGGGAATGTCTTTCTCCTTCTCAGTCAGGGACCATGTCACTGAGGGAGGCGTTCTTTTTTTCTTTTATGTGTGGCCCCCAATCCCAAAAAGGTCCCTCACTCTTACTCTTAGCAAAGCTGCTCACTGAGTTTTCAGAACAGTCTCAGATTCTTTACACATATCAAAATAATGGAAGGTGAATATAAAACTGCCATGGATCTTCATGTGGCCAGGATTTAGATCATATTTGAAAACCCAACTGCTAACTCTGCCTGAAAAAATAAACAAAATACAGGACTATGTAGCACTTTAAAGACTAACAAGATGGTTTATTAGGTGATAAGCTTTCGTGGGCCAGACCCACTTCCTCAGATCAAATAGTGGAAGAAAATAGTCACAACCATATATACCAAAGGATACAATTTAAAAAAAATGAACACACATGAAAAGGACAAATCACATTTCAGAACAGAAGAGGGATGCGGGGGGGGTGGGGATCACCTGTAATACCATTAACTCACAAACATCCCACTCTCCCTACCTTTAATATCAGCAATTCACAGACACTTACCTTCCTTCCTCCCCCTTCCCACCCCCCCGCATCCCCCTTCTGTTCTGCAATGTGATTTGTCCTTTTCATATTTGTTCATTTTTTAAAATTGTTTCCTTTGGTATATATGGTTGTGACTATTTTCTTCCACTATTTGATCTGAGGAAGTGGGTCTGGCCCACGAAAGCTCATCATCTAATAAACCATCTTGTTAGTCTTTAAAGTGCTACATAGTCCTGTATTTTGTTTCAGCTACACCAGACTAACACGGCTACATTTCTATCACTGAAAAAATAAAGAGTGTGCTTTAATTGAGAAAGCAGTGTAACTGGTATTGGTAACATATTTTTGGATTAGCAGTTAATGAAATTGCCAATATAACTATCTGACCCCTAAAAAGAAAGCTCATAGAATGCTAGCTACATGATTAACTAATATGAGAATAAACCAAAGAAGAAGCTCATGGTAGAAAGACTCCAGTAAAAGGAGGAAACCAAGATCGAGGTATACCTTAGTGTCTGGTTTACCCTTGTCATGTATCCATGAACAGCTGCAAGTGCTTCTATCACTCTCTTTATTCATCACATTAAGAAAATCTCATTGATCAGTTCCTCATCTAGAGAAGCAGCCTGACAGGACAAATCTGCAATATTAGTCGTCTTAGTTTCCTCATGACTGGTATTCCCTTTTCCCACCAGAAACCATGAAGGCAGATGCCACATTTCTTGCAGTGCTGCCTTGCTATTGCTATAACTTTATTGTTCAGCAGCTGGGAGGGAGGTTCCATTACCCGGTCTCATTCTTAGAGGTCAATTTCAAAATCATAAACCTTGGATCCAAAGAGCCAATCAAGATGAAAATTTTTTTTCCAGAAATATTGTTTTTTTTTGGTTTTGCCCCTTCTGGGGGTGTAAAAGTAAATGTAACAGCTGCTTTGTTTCTCTTATTCTTTCTCATTTGCCATAAATTCTATAGAAAAAAATAGCTCTGACTTTGCTCCACTTTTAACTTCCTGTTTCTCAAAAGCACTAGCATGCATCTTTTTTCTAGGCAAACATTTTCAAGTATTGGTAATAAATCTGCATATGTAGGTTCATTTAAGTTCAATATTTGTTTAATAGGCTTCTGGATGTTTCTCAAAGACGTTGTTGTTGTTACCTGCTTATCCTAAGTTTAATAGGCTTCTGGATGTTTCTCAAAGACGTTGTTGTTACCTGCTTATCCTACTGGTGTTTTATAGTTCTTTCCTTATTCTAAATTTCTTTTTAGTGTAAATCATACCTAGTTTGCAAGAAATTTGAGAAATAAAGCAGAGGGGGCACAGGTCTGCAGAACTGTTAGAGTAAGAAGGAAATATATTGATTAAAGCCCCAGGAGAATTTAATCCTACGAATACGTTCAGTGTAAACAAAATGGTTAAGATTTACAGTAGTGAGTTCTTATGGAAGTTGCAAAGCCAGCAAGGGCAGAGGGTGAATTATTAGAATTACGTTTGGGTATGAAGTACCAATGGTATGCTGAAGAGCTGATTCTGTATTTGACTCAGCTGATAAAAATCAGATTCAATATGTAACCAGTTCACTCATCTTTAGACTCAAAAATACATTTAGGGTTTTTTAGTTTGATTGTGCACACCTTAATAGGGCATAATCCCAATCCGTCTCTCTCTGTGCACAGAAGAGAATGTGCAAGATGCACCATTCTGTGCATGGAATAGTATACTGCCTTACCTTCAACCCCTATTTAAGGCATTTACCATCCCTAGGAAGACATGAAGGAGAGGAGTCTGCACTCTTCAAAGACAGTGAGTGCCATTGTCCTTAACATATGTGTAGGGTATCTAAAGCCTTCTCTTCTTATCACTTATGCAGTATTCATGACATGTCAAATTCTTTGCATACCTTGGGTTTTGTTAGTGTGACTGAAAACTGTCTTTTATAAGTTCCCAAAGCACAAGCAAACCAGAGCATGACTCTGTTATCACTGGTAGATTTTATTATATTTATGTTGTAACATTATAGCAATTTAATTTGGTTTGCTGCAACATTTTCCACGTCTCAATAGAATTTCAAATAGAACTGCTTTCCTGCCATAACCGTAGTAAAACCTAAGATCAGATTTACAAATATTCATCAGCAAGAACATTTCAAGGACATTTATGATGCTCCCAGTTTCTCCTTTTTGTACACGAGAGGGTCACAAGTTGGAAAGGGCCCATATTACAGGAAAAAGTGGAATATCTTACATTTTTTCAGACAATATTTTGGTAATATTTGCATTCCTCTTGTATCAATTAATTATAATCCCTTCCTTAAATATCTTGTAATCTGGGGTCATTACACTAAGTAAAACCTCAGATCATCCAAGTGATATAAGTTTACGTATAGCTTTTACACTCTATTGTTACTGTTCTTTTTATTAATGTAGCATCCAAAGTTTCAAGTTAGAATTCAGGGATGCATGTTGTGCTAAGAAGTATCATACACACAGGAAAACAATCATGTGTCTTAAAAGCCTCACAATCAAATTTATAAGACAAATCAGTTAAATGTGCTAGATTATTCTGACTGGCCATAGCCTATTGTTGTGATCCATTTTGCTCCATGGGGACTTCAAAGGAGTCAGTCATTCTTGAAAGCATTTGAACTAAAGACTGATCTCATCTGGAAAATTGGATACAGACATCCTTGTATTTAGGGGCTGTTCAGGTTGGATCCATGTCTAAACTTCTCCGCTCATATTCATGGTTAGCTATAATAAATTGCTTTTAAGGCCAACGAGACACTAATGTATATACTCAACCAGCACTTGATTATTAGATGCACAATACATTTAAAGAAAAAAAACTACTTTTCATCAATAAAAAATGGGTGTGCATCCTTTAAGCTGTTGTAGACAGTACAACAATGCCTAAGACAAGGTAAGGTACTGTTTGTATAGTACAAGGCCTATCTGAAGATAACATGACCAGATATTTTTCCCTGTTACCTTCCAAAATTTGTTCTTGTAGCTTCCACATCCACTTGCTTTAACCATCTCTCTCCTTGAGAAAGTTTTGAGTTATTAGAAAATGACTCCATCATACTGAAAGTGTCTAGATAGACTGCCGATAATCCGGCATCTTTGGGACCCAGGGGGTGCTGGATTATCGGATATGCTGGAGTATCAGGAGGTACTCTGGCAGGGGGCTATGACAGGTCTACTGGGACCGGCACTGTGACTGGCAGGGTGGGGGAATAGTCGGTGGGGAATGGCGTGACGAGGGGCGAACCCTCTGCCGTTTTGCAAGGAGGCAGGGGAAGCCCTGCGCAGCTGCTGGTGACAGGCCAGCTGGGGCTGAAAGCAATGGTGGCAAACTTGGGGAGGTGCCCTGCGCAGGCAGCTGGGGTGCTGCTGGGGTGCTGCTGGGTTGTTCCCGCAGAGCCGCCCCTCACCTGAGTGAGTATTTTGGCCAGTGGTATAAATTCTCTAAGAGAAAATCAATTAATTCAAATGAATAGTGTGAAATGTTGCACAGATAATGTAAGTCTAGATATAATCTGGTCTCCATTTATAAACAAGGAATACCTTGGAGAAATAAAAATAGGAAAACCCTATTATTAGGCCCTGTGGATTTTACTGCATTACAGTTAGCTTAGATTTGTATATTTGGAAAATCAATACAGTAGACTTCTGACAATCCGGCACCTTTCGGACCTATGTGGTGCCGGATTATCAGATTTGCTGGAGAATCGGGAGGTCTGGGACAGCTGGAAGGCTTAACAGCTGGCCAGGACACAATCTCCCTCCCTCTCCCCTCCCCTTTCCTCTTCGCGTCTCTCTCCTCCATGCTCTAACCTGATCCTCCTCCTCCTCTTCCCCTCCCCTTTCCCCTCACTGAAGCAAAACGCTCTTCTCCATACTGTAACATGATCCCCCTCCCCCAGCCTTATACTCCCTCTGCTTACTGCCAGCACGTGTGCTGAGCGGCAGGCTTTTTAATCAGCTGGTCAGGAGCGCTTGGCATTTTGATGCCGGAGTATCGGGAGTGCCGAACAGTTGGATGCCGGACTACCAGAGTTTTATTGTATTTGTTTCTTTTCATCTAGCTTTCCTTGACTGGTAATGTGCAGGACTGAATGCATGATAAAGAAGTTCTATGAAAGGGACCAGTGATATCTTATTGAATGTATTCAGTTGCTGAACTTTTTAGTCAAATATTTTGTATTCCTTTTCACATCCTACAAAAAGAACAAAAGTCACCTTAATCCCAGTTGTACCTCACTACACATTTTTTTTTCCATTGCTAACTTTTTCAGCTATTTAGCATTCCACATTACTTGTTCCTTCTGTGTTTTGTAAGATACAACTTGGACAATTATACAGCACAACAATACCAACCTGACCAGAGTCAAAAGTGCTAATCGAGAGAACCCACATACCGTGTTCTTCAAGTACACTGCAACCCTAGAACAGCTTCAGGCTACAATTAACTATGCAGAACAGTGTGAACAGGAGCTTGCTTACCACTGCAAAAAATCAAGGCTTTTAAATAAGCGAGGTAAGTAAAGCAGTCAAATCTTATTACGTTGCATGATACCATAGATATTTAATTCTGCCAAGGTTATGGCATTTTGCCACTATACTTTGTAAAATACTTAATTAGCTGACAAATAAATCCCCAATCTATATGTTGTTGAGTGGGATTTGAATTAGAAAAATAAAGGTCAGTTTGAGTTTTATTCAAAGCATTAACTACATTCAAAACCAATGTCTTAATTATTTTTACAATTGAATAGAAATTATACTAAAGCCTTTTCTGGATGGCCTCCAGGAATTGTTTAGATTTCAGTCAGAAATGGTTAATTATCAGGCAAACATTTGGTAAAAGGAGCCAATACACTACATAAATGTCAGCTGAAGTCTTTCAAATACTGTGCATCCTGTAGTGGTTGAATTTGTAAATAGCATGAGGTAAAGTATCACGAACATTACCATGCCATTGTCCAAAATACACTAGCACAGAGGAGACCTAAAGTAAAATGCTGGGAAAATCTCAAAAAATTTATTATGTTATGAGGGAAATTACAAGCTCTTCTGATGTAGTTGAAGTAATCCGAACAAAATATAATAATTAGGTGGCATGTTCAAGTTTTACTTTAGTTCTCACTAGATAGAATACAATCCATTGAGTTGATTTTAATTTTGAAAATGTGTTCTAAATGTTAAAAAAAAACTTGAAAAGAGATTGTTCATTGTTCTTATATAGATGTTTCAAATCAAGTCTCAATTGTCTTCTCTGTCAGAAAATCTGAGAGGCAAATAGTCCTCTTAAAAATTGCAAGGCTCATGTCACAGACTTCACATGCCATTCTCCTATAACGCGGTTTACTGGTGCTACAGCAGAAAACAGGACATTCTTCCATGCTCTGAGAGCTCTACTTCTCTTAGCAGAATGGCTGTCAAAAGCTAAGCAAACACATTAGCTCTCGCCTTCCTTCATTCTGCCTTTCCTTCAAAGAGGTCATGGAATGCAATGAATTTCTTCTGAGAGAAGCATTAACTCTCAGGAGAATTGCTACTTAGAAATCTACCAGGCTTACAGGTGAACCCATTGCAAAGACTCTCAGGAGAATTGCTACTTAGAAATCTACCAGGCTTACAGGTGAACCCACTGCAAAGAGGGTTGCTTCTCTGACTCTGCCCCTCCTTTCCTGCCAAACCTCTTTCTGACCTACAGACTCCCTGTACCTTGATATTTATAGGCATCTGACTTAGCATGTGTTTTACATGAATACTTCTATGGTACTCCCTGGGGAGTACAGTACAAAGTTCCTTATCTTAACTTAGAATCTCTTCTTGATCAAATGGCCAAACATACCTAACCTGGTGTCAAATTACCCAAAAGGTACCCCTCATTCACACAAATGAATTACCACTGACATCAGGGGGAATGAATCATATTGAAGGATTGAATGCAGGATCATGCCCAGTTAAATTTCCCAAATGTCTGACTCTTAAATTTTACTTAGGATTGCTAGGATTAATAGTCATTTCAGAATTGACAGTTTTAAAGTGACTGTGAGAAATGAAAGCGTTTGCTAGACATATTTGCTGAGCAAAAATGCAAGACTGTCAGACAGGTACAAAAGGGAGAAAGAACAATCCCACTGAGACTTTAGGATTTGGAACATTAGTATTCAGAGTTGGTGAGGGTTGGGTATATATGTTTTATCAGCAAGTTAATGCAGTGAAAACATTTGGTCGTATTAAACCTTGTCTCATTTTAAATCTTTTCATGCAATAAGTGGTAAAACTAGTTGAGAAAGTGTTTTGCAGAATTGCTAGGGCTTTTTAAAATCAGTTATAACAGTGCTAACAAGAACAATACTAGATAAAGCTTCTCATGTTTCTACATAATAAACATTCACTCTATTCTGGAAAGTTCATTTTACAGGTGAGAGGCTAGGTCAGCCTCCAAATCTCTTTAGTCTCTGATTTCTGTGCTGAGATTACTATTAAAAGTTCCAGTTATCATAGTTGTTGGGGGTGATGTCGACACTAGGGATGAACAATCAGCTTCCATAATAATTTATACTTTTAGCACGGGGTTGGACTTGACAACCCTCTGAGGTCTCTTCCAACGCTATACTGTAATTCTATGATACTTTGCCCTTCCTTCACTTTTGCGTTCATGGAGAAGGCTGTTTTAAAGATATTTCTAATATCCTGGGAAACAGAAAGTAACAGGAATACAGTGAGAAAGTCCATTCTCTTGGGCCCCATCTTAATGGTTGCCTCAGTTTGAGTCAAAGAAGTATGCAGAGGGTGAATGTAAGCCATGAACCCTCTCTGTAACTTAAGGATGCCAGTATGTAAAGTGTTTCAACAATGGACTCTCTAATAGAAGACAGACACACTTTTAACCCACTATCTGCATCTAGACTTTTGCAGTCCAGGTTTGTGGACACACAGTATTTGGATAGGTTAAAGAAGAATACAAACTTTTAAATGCTTATCTTAAATAAGCTCTGAACCTTTTGAGTTGTACAAATCAATACTGATAAAGAAATAGAATTAGTGACTATAAAGCCCTGTTCCCTGCTTGTGTTCTTATCCCGAGGAGTCACTCCCTGGCCAGGTCAGAGTCTGCATGCAAGACCTGGACAGTGCATGTTGCTGGCTGCTTGCAGGTGATATGAAGTGCCCAGCCAAGGGGACAAGTGCTGGGAGCAGCACAGTCTGTATGGCCCAGGAGTCATGCTGGAATGGGTGAGTTAGGTCACTGTGGGGAGCTCGAGTTCCTCCACCTTCCCTGGGCAGCATGCCTGGGTAGGTGGGGACGAGGGCCAGAGGCTGTTGTCAAGACACCTGAATGTCAGCTCGCTCATTTAAGACAGGCAGAATGCCACAAGCACTTGAAGAGTTTGGTCCCTAAGGACAGTATTAGCAGGATAGAGCACTAGTCAGTCACTGCTTTGGCATGTTATCATCCTAGTCCTCTGACTAACCACTGCCCTTTTGAAACTTTCCGTCAGTTTCTTGTTAGCTATAGTCAGCAGAGAACCTTCTTATCTGAGCTGTGGTTCTCTGGTTGCTGTTTAGCTTTTTTCCCCCGGATTTTTATCTACAGAGAACATCTCTTTTGTCAAGTATATTTCTACTGCAGAACAGTGTGAGGATAATGACTCTTGCGGGAGGATCTCAGATTTCCCCAGTGTTTAGAATGTATGTTGAGAAATGAAGAAAAAATACTACATGAGTTAGGTCACTGTGGGGAGCTCGAGCTCCCCCAAACTGAAAATATAGGGGGAGTTTTAGGCAGGCAAAATTCAGTCAACCTGATTGCACTTTTAGTATATATCAAATTAATTATTTCTCTTGCACCTAGCGTATGATGTTTTGAGATCTTCATCTAACATTGTCCTAATAAAATACAATAAAATATAAGGCTTTGCAATTCAAATAGCTATGCTATCAAATTGTGCATATAATTTTACCCCTCCCAATACTGTGGTCCATAATCTCCACTGGGCACTTCTGACAAGTGCATCATTTCATGAGAGTTTTATATAAAGTAACTTGGGCCACACATTATAAAAAGAAATTTTTATTGGAACAAATCTTAAGAATGCACTTCACTCAGTCTTCCTGATGCAGAGCATATAAATGATTCTATTAAAGAAGTGCTATTCTAATAGTGTTGTGTGTTCATTTTGAAGAAGCTGCCTCAAGTCCTTTTTCCCTCCCATTTTGATTAGCAATATTCACTGCCAAAACAGAGCTAACAACCTTGACTAATCACTATGATCCTAACTATATTGCTCTCATGCTAGCATATAAACAAATGTGTCAGGATTGCTTTCAAGTCAGTTCAAGAGCAGGAACTTTCAGTCACAACTACAGGACTAGAGTTTCTGAGCTGTCGAAACAGAAGAAATATCCTGGTTTTATGTATGTTTGTTTTGTTTATTTTTAAAGTGATGTCTCATAAATAATGTATAAAATGTTCTCTAGCTTTTCTTCTGTCCATGATGGGCTGTGAACAAAATATTGATACTAGACTTTGTTGTCACTGAGCATGTCTGACTTTCCTAGAAACTTTTCACACTGTTTTTAAGGTCTGATGGGCTCGCAGCTGTGTGGTAATGAATTCAGTCAATATATTTACAACCTGAGAGCTTGTAAGCGTAGCAAAGGTATTCTCTTACAGTGAGTTATAATAAGCCATGGCTGTTGCAAGTGAAGCTGAAGCTGTATTAAGTGCCAGTCTTGGTGTGAGGGGTCCACTACTGAAAGCTTCAGAGCTCCAAGAAACCAAGTGCCTCTATAAGGCCAGGTCTACACCAGTGTTCAGTCAGCTCTGTGCACAGAGCCCTGAGCCGCTGACTGGGTGGGGCTGATTAATCACCTGTGAAGCTGTGCTGACTTGCAGCTTAGGGGGAACACTGGTCTACACTAGAGGAGAAAGATGACCTAAAATACACAACTCAAGCTATATGAATAGGGTAACTGGAGTCGACCTAACTTATGTCATATTTTTTCAGCGTCCCCACTGCAGGATGTAAATGGGGAAAACTCTCCTATCTGCTTTCCTTATTCCTTGTTATCTGGTGGAGTACCAGAATAGAAAAGATCATGATCTGTGGTCAAATTAGTGGTTCCTTACCAATGTTCCCTCTAAGGCTGTCTACACACTTGCATGAATTTCCGGAACTGCTTAAAACGGAAAACTGTGGCCAATGTAGACGCGCTTTTCCGGAAAAGAGTCCCGATTGCCATTTTTGTGATCGGGGCTTTTTTCCGGAAAAGACTACAGGGCTGTCTACACTGGCCCTTTTCCGGAACAGTGTTCCGGAATAAGGACTTATGCCCGAGCAGGAGCAGAATAGTTTTTCCGGAATAGCGGCTGATTTTGTACAGTAGAGCATCGTTGCTTTTCCGGAAATTCAATGGCCAGTGTAGACAGCTCGCAGCTTATTCCGGAAAAGTGGCTGATTTTCCGGAATAAGTGGCCCAGTGTAGACACAGCCCTCGTGTTTCCATACATGTGTGGAATAATTTTTATGTGCACCACGGCTTGTGCAGGTATACACCACCAGTAGAAACACATGCTGTTGGCTCTGGACATTGTGGATGCTCTGTTAACTATATGGGCGGCATTTGAATCTCTTCTGGGCACCCACACAAGTGCCCAGCTTACAGAGAACACTGATCTTTACTACACCCTGTCACCAAAATGTTGATCTCCGAGTAAGTGGAGGCAAACCGTTAGCCACCATACCATTAGGCATCATACAATAAGCACTTGACTCCTTTCATACCCTGACTTTGCATTCATTTCATCTTTTACCTTTCTTCACTCTCATTTAAGATGGATTACCTTCATGCTTCACATCCTTTAGCAATTATCTTTTTCTGTATATTTTGTGCTTTTACTGCTCTGGTTATTTGTCAGCATTTTGAAACTTAATGTGCAGTTCTGTAGAATTAAGAACACATCCCGCTCTATCATTTTACTCTAATCAGTGTTGAATGGGTGAACTGCTCACAGATGTAGTAGGCTCTGAGAAACTTTGCTGTTAGTCACTGGGTACATCAACGGGGTTATGGAGCACAAATTTTAACATGGTTTCAGCAGTCTCAGACTGCATAAATTCTGCAGCTTTTGTGCATGATCTAGCTCATGACTGCTGACATTTCTGATTCTCCCTGCTCAGTAGAACTAAGCTAGGTGCTTAATATGCAGCAAAGGTGTATTTAGTATTCTCAGTAATAAAATGAGTCAATTTATGCTTTTTACTCTTCTCATTTCTTCACTGGTATTTTCATGATCTCAAATTGATCTTTGCTTCAGAGTATAAATTAACTTGATTTTTAGGGCATCTCTTTTTTCATGTGCTATTTTTTTTAAAAAAGTACGTAAATGGACTGCTTAAGATAAATGATTCTAATATCATGCCTGACTGAGCTAGGGACTACCAGATCTCTTTTCCTTTCATACAAGCAAAAAGCTGTGACTATCATTTAATCCTTGATAATGAAATATTAAAATGAATAATTGGTTAGCATTTGTAAAGAAATGTGGTCATTTATTTTTAAATTGAGGGGTTTTTTACCATTATGCTTGGAAATTTGTTTGGGTGAGGGAAATTGGGAGGAGCAGGAACTGGGATTAGGTATTAATTTTCCTCTCATTTGTCTTTTAGATGGGATGCCATTGAGCTGGTGGGTTGGAAGAACCAATGAAACACAGACTTACTGGGGAGGATCTTTGCCTGATGTTCAAAAGTGTGCTTGTGGATTAGAGGGGAACTGCATTGATTCTCAGCATTACTGCAACTGCAATGCCGACAGAAATGAATGGTGATTTTTTGTACTGTTTGCTTGTGCTCAATTCTTTGCTGTTGAAAATCAAACTCAAAAATTATATAGGGTTTTGCAGTTATGGATTACCAGTCCTATTAGGAAAACCCCACAAACCTATAATATATGCTGCTACCACCTGATCAAAATATTATTTCTCACCGTAATTAGCTAAATTGAGGGGCAAATATTTTGCTGTGATTTCCTGTATTTAGTTGCCATTTTGGGATGTTATAATTTTATTTTTAGACTGTCTAGTTTTTATTAAATGGCTTGTTTTGCCAGTGGTTAAAGGCTTACATTTTATGTTTTCCAGTCATTGAAATATTTAAACTAACTGGATTTAAACTATGGATTAATTGAGCAAAGCATTCATTTTGCACATTGAACATTTGTATTATCTTTCTTTTCTCTATGCCTTTGAGGTCAGTAGTAGTCTTTAAGAATGTAGAGGATATAATCCTGGTGTCATGAAGAGCATGAATTTCACAGAGTTCTGACTAGTTCCGCAGACTACAGCTGAACTCTACTTGTATTTCCCATTTGCAAATTTTTCCTCATCTAAACTGTATTTATCTTGCATTGTTGACCACCAGTTTAAATACCTTATAAATGAGAGATGAGCTGAAGCTATGAAGCTAGATCTGAATTAAAATTCGGACTTCTCCAAAATTTGGGGTAGGAGGTTTAAAGAAGTTAGGCAAATTTTAAATGGAAAAAAAATCCTGTTAATGGAAAGTTTAAGTATGTTTAATCTGTACAAAACATATGTACTGAGCAGGTAATGCTTGTACACAAATTTGTTATAATTATGCTTGTATACATAGTGTGTGAACATATACATTGTTGCTGACGCCTTCATACTTTTCACACATATGGGAGTCTGTAAAGGACCATGAAGTTTCATTCTTAAAACAATTTGGCCAAACGACCTACTGAAGTCAGTGAACAGCTGCTTCTTTCCAGCATATTTTAAAAGGAAACCTTTTATTTGGATATCTAAATGTAAATTTAGGAACTAACTTAAGGCACTCAATTCTGAAGATCTTATCCTGGACACATTATTGCTAAGGTCTTTTATTTTAATGGCATTTTTAAAGTTGAACACAACAGAATTTTCAAAAATTCCTAATGAATTTGAGATCTTCAATTTTTTTATTCCCAGACTGAAACAACATAGAGGCCTGATTTTCAGAAGTGCCACCTGAGATTCAAACCAGAAGATGATGGACTGAAGTCAAATAGCTAAAATTTAAGGCAACCAAAATTGCTAGTCACTTCTGAATATCTTGACCAAAATGTTTATGTTAGGAAGGAAATATACTATAGAAAATTTCAAAGGGTCTCATTTTTCTAGAGTGCTATGAATGAGGCATGGTAAACGTTGAATGTACAAGTTCTATCTTGTACAAGAGAACATGGGTGTGGTCCCTCATGGAATTGAGATTGAGAATGTGATAGAGAGAAAGTGTCCATCCTTTTGCTGTATAAAATATGGATTCATGGATCCCATTGTCAAAATAGGCACTCAGCCCTCCTTCAGATGAACAACTAGTGGACTGGTTTAAGAATTTTACTCATCCAAACAGGGGGAGCTGGTTAGGAAAGTTGTCAGATGCAGAAATGAAAACACAATAAAGAGTCACAGATGTGTACAAGTTCTATAGGTTTAAAAATGTACTTAAAACACAAAGAGTGTGCATCTTCAGTGAATTCCTCCAAAGGTAATATCTGCCTATTTTCTCTCTATTACAAAACTTAAACAAATGCATAGAGGACTTAAGTGTTTCCCTATTACTCTACTGTATAAAAATATAGAGAAGTTATGGTTCTCTAGCTGCCAAGTAAATATAAATAAGTAAACACATTTTTTTAGACTGGAATTTGAGTGGTCCCTAATATCAGAAATATATTTTGGCTCACTTTAGGCACACGCATTCCCTGCTCACATTCATAAGTCCCTGCCATTTGTGTGCTATACACAAGAAAAAATAGATACAGACTGGGACCATGCATGTGTCTATTTTAACCACTGAGCATAATTTACAGAAGTATATTAAAATTCATTGTCAGTATATGAAAATGTACATTATGTATCTGAATCTTTTACTTACAGTGCAATGTTTACATGTTCACTTGATCCAGAAGAATAAATGATTAAAAAAAAAAAAAACAAATAAAACCCAGAATTTCTCCCAGTGCCTCTTTTGGGCACATAGAGGTATGGCTATATCTGAAATAGTTTTGCTCTATTATGCAGGAACTAGGGAACTGTCAAGCATCCAAAATTCAATCACCCAAATTGATATCTATGAAAATCTCAAATTTGGGGAGGAGGAACACCGTGGCACTATAGATTACTGACCATAGCAATAAGTGCTCCTGGCTTTCAGTCTATGTTCTTTTTGTGTGTCATTGGGCAAGTCAAAACTCTGAATTTATTTCTACATGCATAACATAGAGGTAATTGTATTTATGCCACAAGTGAATACGTCTCATAAAGTTCTAGCTAAGTATCAAGTTGTATTTAGTGCACTGCAGTCATCGTCTAGGTATCCTGAAAGAGGGACAGAAGACACTGGATATAGATTTTAATCAAGCTGCAACTTTATTTTATAGATATTGTCAGCAGTTAACTAGTAGAGAAAGTGTACAATGCAGGCAAATTCGTGTTTATTCAAATCATTATCCAGGGCTTCCAACTTTTTTAACATTAGGTAGGTTAATAGAAAAATACCTAAGCTATTTGTCAAATAATTTAGATAGGCACAGTAATAGATCTTTGGGTTTCATAAGGATTCAGTACTGGCCTAACTTTGTTCCTACTGAACTTGATAGGAGCAGTTAGATCAGCGATGATCTCTTTTGAAAATTCAACCCTTTGATCCATTGCTAATTTACCAATAAAATATCCCGACAAATAGCATAATTCTAATTTCTATCTTAACTGACAGAGAGAGAGATCAGAGACAACCACAGGTAGGACCAATGGGATGCACTGTGAAACATTCTTTGCTACAACAAAAGACAGGACTATGCAGCACTTTAAAGACTAACAAGATGGTTTATTAGGTGATGAGCTTTCATAGGCCAGACCCACTTCCTCAGATCAAATTGTGGAAGAAAATTGGCATGACCATTTATACCAAAGGTCATGCCAATTTTCTTCCACAATTTGATCTGAGGAAGTGGGTCTGGCCTATGAAAGCTCATCACCTAATAAACCATCTTGTTAGTCTTTAAAGTGCTGCATAGTCCTGTCTTTTGTTGTAGCAAAGAATGTTTCACAGTGCATCCCATTGGTCCTACCTGTGGTTGTCTCTGATCTCTCTCTCTGTCAGTTAAGATAGAAATTAGAATTATGCTATTTGTCGGGATATTTTATTGGTAAATTAGCAATGGATCAAAGGGTTGAATTTTCAAAAGAGATCATCGCTGATCTAACTGCTCCTATCAAGTTCAGTAGGAACAAAGTTAGGCCAGTACTGAATCCTTATGAAACCCAAAGATCTATTACTGTGCCTATCTAAATTATTTGACAAATAGCTTAGGTATTTTTCTATTAACCTACCTAATGTTAAAAAAATCTACTGATTTTCTGTCCTTTACTCAAACAACTAGATTGCCTCTCTCCCCCTGAAGAATTTAAGCAATATATATTGGTCTTTTCTGTACTCTGCATGCTTGGTTCTGTTTTGCTTTTTGAGATTTATATTTTGGTGTGGTTTTTTTAACTGTATAAAATTAAATAGAAGGGAATGTTCTGGTTAAAAAATTAAATATTGAGACTACGGTTTTTAATCATTTTGACAAACTATAATAAGTTAGATATGCTGCTTTTTCTAGGAGGCAAAATTACTGACATGTGAAAGTACATCTGAGGTTTAGGAAGGCAGCTTTAATACCTAATTATGTTGAAAATAAAATATCTTGCTTCTGCAGATGATCACAACCCTAAGCCTGCCCACTTGATTCTGTGATCTCATGTAGGCCTGCAATAGATTTAAATGGTCTTATAGATTATGAGATCAATACAGAAGTATTTGTAAGTATGTTCCCATTTATTCACAATCCCTTGGCTTACCTGAACAATAGAGCTGTAACTTTTGAAAATGTAGTTCTAAATCTAGAGGGGTGGAGGGTTAGTTAAATGAATCCATTATAAGGACAATATATTTCTCTTATGTGACTATTACTCAGAAACATTTCGAAGGTGTTTGTTTCTAATTTTTTTTAGGACTAATGATACTGGATTCCTCTCTTATAAAGACCATCTACCAGTAACTGAAATTGTTATCACGGATACAGACCGACCAAATTCTGAAGCAGCTTACAAGCTTGGGCCTTTGCTTTGTCGAGGTGACAGTAAGTAACAGAATGCAAAGTACAAATAATTCACTACTGTTTTACACACCATGTGTTCAGCTGTCTAAAAGGTATTTAAAGATCAGCCAGTTGTTAATGGCTAATTTAATAGGAAATGAGGGAGAGAGTGACAGGATCTTCAAGCAGAGCTGTGTCAATAACTGATTGTTCAGTTTGCTGGCAGTTCTGAAAAATATAAATAATTGTATATTTAATGCAAATGGCATGATCTGAATGTTTTAAATGCTTTGATTTTTTTTTATATGAACAAGTTGGTGAAATAGGCCTGAACTTATAGAATGTTTTGGTGCTGCCAAATCTGCATTCATTCACTTCAGAAATATTTTGGATGACAAAAAATCAACCTAACTTTATCTTCAAAGAAACAGAATACATTTAAAATTGGATATTACACATATGAGGAAGTAGATAAGAGGTAATGACAGATCTAGTTTGAATAATTTGTATGAAGACCATGTGACTCGTGGGTTTTTGTGCTATGTTGTTCAATTTTTTTGTTAAAGCATGACAATGCAGAAATGTTTAAGATGTGCTACAATGTTGTGGGAGAAATATGCCCTTTTCAGGACTTGCAGACCTCTAATTTACCCCAATTTTTTTATCTGCTCTCTTCATATCATAATATATATGCCCTTAGATACTATGAGTACTTATCTCAAATGGGTAAGGGTGAGGCTGAGTAATTGTGCTAAGGATTTTTCTGTCCCAAACTAGTCATACCAGGGTTCTACATCAGAGTAGGATCACTAGTCAGTGAAATTTTTCAGTCGGGATATTAAAAAGAATGAATCTAAAGGTTGCTCTTTAACAATTGATTTTCTGGGGAATAATGAACAGCCATGACCTATAAGAATATTATTTTCACTGACCATACTAAGACTAGGACATAGTTTCACCTTATCCTTGAACACAATTTTCTATATATTGTAGTGTGTTAAATTTGATAGCAGATAAAAATGACTAAATAAGGCTATAAGGGCACACAGATTAATGAAAAACCTTCTGTAAAATACAAACAGCACACATTTTAGATTAGTGGAAAAATATTAGAATTACTATTTAATTAAAACTAAAAGAATAATGAAGAGCACCAGTAAGATATTCGCTAATACTCAATGGCAAACATCAAAGACACTCTAATTGTAAGCATTGAAGTAACATTTATATGTTCTACCTTTTGGCTGGAGAATAACACAAATAAGGTCTCATTGCAAATATTGATTTCTCCGAAGTGCTGTCGAACAAGGAAAAATAGATATTCTTGGACTTTCGTACATTGTTTGGGTACTCACCAAGGAGATTATTGCTTCTTTCTTGCATCCACCACTACCAAACACTAAATTATGTGATTTCACTTCAAAGAGGATATCCTCTTATTTGCTTATATTCTTTACCGCCTTTTTAACAGACAAAAATTTGTAGCATCATAATTGCTCACTGGTGAGGGAGGATGTTTACTTTCGTTCCTGATCCGTATATAGCCTCCATTCAAAAGATGGAAAGTTGTGAAATCTTATTGTCCAATAATCTGTCTATATTATACATATATGACAAATAACTGTTTATGGCAAATATCAAAATAAAAAAGATGTTAATAGTGCACTGAATTGACTTAAATAGTGTGTTTAGCTCAATCTCTCAAGTATACATTAGGATGAACTAAAATTTGTAATACATTTGTGCCAATTTTACCAAATTGTTTTAGTTAAAAAAAAGGGAATACATTTTGTTTTGATGTTTTTAAATAAAGTATTGTTTTCTATTCAAAATTACTTCTCATTTTAAAAATGTATTTTAATTTTTATTACAAATTTTTAAAAGCTCAAAAATTAAGCAAATTTCTGGTTGAATGATACAATTAACGTGACCTGAAGAGAATTTATTTTTCAACTTTTCATTCCTTGAGTTTATTTTAAAAAAACCAAACTTTAGCTTTTTGATTCCACAGAACATTTTGATGAAAAAACTAGAATAATACAAAATCAACAATACTCACATAAAATGAATTACAAACTAGAAAACTCACGAGCAATGTTCCCTGAGCACTTCAGCAGCTGCCCAGTTGCACTTCCTCAGACCTTCTGAGGAACAAATCCGGACAAAGGGTGGGCTTTTGAGGTTGTTTATTAGTAAAGATTCTTAGGGGTAAGGTGATACACATACACATCGCATTCTTGCTGACAATTTGGAGGAAGGCTACAAATGCAGTGCAGATTACTTTTGATTTCGCTGGTGGCTGGAGTGCTGCTGGCCAGGCATCAGCTTCCTTTGGGAAGATCTTCGGTTCTTTGGGAGATCTCTTCGGATCTGCAGGAGGCTTCACTTCTCTGGGCCAGACCCAGGATTCTGCTCTGATATTACATTTTGTCTGAGAGAGAGAGATTCTTCTGGATGCTTCTCTATTAATTTATCTGTTTGCAGGGTCTTTGACTGCCTTAAAAGGTTACAGATCCTAAAATGCCTTTGATTGGGTATTTCTCATTCACACCTCATAAACATTCCACAGCTTACATACATATTCAAAACAATATGGTTTCTAGTCAAAGTTGGGCCTCATCATGGCCTTGAGTACCAGAAACCTCCCATAAATTGGATTGTTTGGCATACTAAAAGGCCTAACGTATATACTATGGGTTAATATACTAAAGACATGATACAGAGGTTAACATAAATTGAAACTAAGAGAGGTAGGAGAAAGAGGAAAGCAGAGGAGTATGTCCAGTCATCTAGATGCCAGTAGGGGGGGGAGGGTCATGTCCGACTGGCTACACCTAGGAGAGATTCAAATGCCACCCAGCGGATTAACAGAGTACACACAGCACCTACAGCTGGCTGCATGTATTTCTACTGTTGTTGTACATCCATCCACACATGCCTTGGTGCAAATGGATGGAAAAAGCTGGAGGGAACACTGCATAAATCTCAAAATATAATTGTAAATGGAAAATTATAATTAAATAAGCGTTTTTTTAACAGGATCCCACAAAGGTTGATTCTTTGCCCTAATCTATTTAACATTTTAATCAATGATCTTGAAGTAGTAAATAGTAGAGACTGAAGAGAAGTCACTTCTTAGTTCATACTCAACTGCCTCAGATGGTACAGGTCCGGAATTTGTCATTGCATTTGGTCTGTTGGTTGGATCGTTGCTTTCCCCTACTTGAGCTGGGTACTGGTGGGGTATGTGACATGAATGCTGGTCATGCTCCCTAGGAAGGTCACATTCTGGATCTTTGGTAGGCTGGCCCAAACAAACAATCTGTGTTTTTCATATGGGCAAATGTAAGTTGTACACCCTCCCCCAGCCAAATGAAGCAGGCTGTACTTACAGGATATGGGTCTCTGTCCTGGGAAACAGGGACTGAAAAGTGCTTGGAGATTATGCTTGATAATCAGCTGAACATGAGTTCACTGTGCAATGCTGTGGTCAAAAGGGCTATTGCAGTCTATGGTTGCATAAAAAGGAGAATCTCAAGTATAAGTAGAGAGGTTATTTTACCTCTGTATTTGCTACTAGTACAACTACAACTCTTCTGGAATACTGTGACCAGTTCCAGGTATCTACAACTCAGGAAGAAGATTGCTAAATTACGCAGGCTTTGGAAAAGAGCCACAAAAATGATTACAGGATTTTAAAAAAAATGTTTTATAGTACAAGAAACTTGATCTGTTTAGATAAAAACATAGACGGTGAAAGAGTGATTTTTATCATAGTCATAATTACCTTTGTGTAGATTAGAAATTTGATAACATAGAGTTTGCTAATCTAACAGAGAACTGTAGAGGGTAATCCAGTGACTTCAAGATGAAGCTAGACAAAAATACAGAATAAGGTGTACATTTTTAACAGCAAGAGTAATTAATCATTGGAACAACTTAACAAAGGCTGTGATGGATTCTCCATCATTGGAACATTTTAAATCAATACTGAATATTTTTTCTAAAGAAATGCTCTAGTTCAAACAAGAATTAATTCAGGGAAGTCCCATAGTCTGTTATACAAAAGGTCAGTCTAGATTATCAAAATGGTTCCTCCTGGCTTTATAATCTATAAATCTTGTAATAGGCTACATTATATGGGAGCTGGAAGCAGATGGGCAGCTGGGCAGCTGTACTCACAGATGATCAAAGGCAATCATGGAATGTTAAGAGGATCAATTTAGAAGAAGCAGTTTGCAGATTTTCAATAATTCTGCCTCTTTCTCTGCTTACTGAGCTAACGGGATTTTTTGCATGTGGCACCACCAAGAGAAATGTTGGATACATGTGAAAAGAGATACAGATTTGAAGAAGACCATGCAACTTGCAGAATTTGATTATCATCCTTCCTCCCCCCCCCCATTTTGATGAAGTGGGGGAAATGACTTTTCTAATGTACTTTCATGCAGGAGGCCATAATATGGCCACTTTGAAAAGGTGACTTGGAACCTTAAGGGGAGATGAACCTTGGTGCCGTGTGACAAGGTCAGCTTACTTGCCTAGGTGGAATAAATAGTAGAAGGCATTTGACCCAATTAGGCCTGGGATTGGGTCAGCAAAGGCATGAAGGAGATCTATGGGGACAGTAGCAGTGGTGGCAGCCCCAAACCCCAGTCCTTTAAATAGCTGCCAGAGTATAGCAATTGCTAAGCATGGGGGCAGGGGAAGCAGCACTGAAGGCCTGCTGCCTCAGCACCACCTCTTCCAAGAGTTCAGAGCTGCCCTCCACACCCTGCTCAGGGGCCTATAGAGGCATTGCAGCCTCTTCCTGGGACATATAGAACAGGTCTGTGGAGCAGGCTAAGAATGCCATACTCTAGGCAAGAAAGCAGGAAAATGGGAGGAGCTATGCTCATTTTAGGCGGGGACAGAAGTACGTATTATCTGTAAAGGGACAAGGGGCTGGGCTCAGACTTAAACTTTGTTGTTGTTGTGTGTTCTGGTTGTTTTCTGCCACCTCAGACATTGGCAAGACATAAATTAAACCTCAGGTAAGGAACCTTGTTTTGGATACCATTTTACAAGTGGTAGTGAACATGCCCTGTGGGCAAAAAGAGACAAAACCATCTCAAGGAATGAGAGGTACTGGGAGACCTTGGTCTGTTTATGTACATATAGAAAGTAAATCAGAATAGTAGGGCATAAGTTAAAACGGAATGGACTAGACCAAAGCACAGCTTCACTTATAAAGACAATGCACTAAATCCTATACATCATATTCATGTTGGTAGTTTCACTGAAGTCAGTTGGACTAGTCTTATAAGAATTGGCAGGATCAAAATAATAATACAGTAATGTGTACTTATGGCCAGATCCTTACCATGTTTAAGTGAAACAGAAAGCTTCTGACTTAATTAAGAGCAGCGTTTGGCTCTTCTGCACAGTGAGAGTATTGAGGGATCTCTGGGCACATGTGAAACTTAGGCTATATCTACACTACACTTCTTTTTCAGAAAAAGGTATACAAATTGCAAAGTGCAATTTGCGTACATCTTTCCGATTGTTTTTTCAGAAGAGGCTTTTCTGAAATGTGGCCCGTCTACACTGGGCCAAATTTCAGAAAAAACTCCTCTTTTGGAAGAGCCCTTCGTCCTCATGAAATGAGGTTTACAGGGCTTCTGAAAGAGCATGTTTGCTCTTCCACAAAAAATCTCGGAAGAGAAGATGTGTTCCCTGGATGTGGCAGAGTTCCAGCTGGTATCCTGGAAAAAACTCCATAGTGTAGACATAGCCCCAATGTGTTAACATTTCTAAGCCTAGGGATGTGGATTAAATATCTTGTTCATCATCAAATAGGAAATCTGTGGCATTTTTGAGAGCAGAGCCTATATTTCCTGATAACCAGGTCTGTGCTTTAGCTAAACTCATCTGTAAGAGAGGGGTAAATTTTGTGACATACCAGGCAGAGTTTTGACTTGCCCTTCCCCTCCCCCCAGTACTCACCGTCAGGCGACATGTAGAGGAAACTATATTCCTTTTTCCAATTGATCCACACTAAAAACTGTAAATTGTTCCCCACTGGAAGCTATTTGGTTTGTTTACTGTTTTCCCTTCACTTTGATCCTTTCTGGTGTTTCACACATAAGAGTGTGTGATACAGCACTTAAAAGTATCAACAAGAGGAGCTGTTACAAATTTTTTTTAAAAAATGTGTTCTGACACCAATGTTAGACAGCTCAAGTGACTTTTTACAACTAAGAAATTGTTGTGAAGGAGTCCTTTTTGATTAGCTTTGTAGTGTTCAAAACTACTAATTTGTCTGTCATATTTTTATTCTTCTTCCTATCTTTTTATACTTTCTTTTAAAATTGGTAAGATAAAAGATGATTTGTTAATGAATGTTTTCCTTAATGGGTCTCTGAAATCTTGAAAACAAAGTATTATTTGCAATATGGATATGGGTGGTGTTTTATTTATAGCAAACAGAGATGCCTTTCTTCTGCCTTTTCTTTAGTCGTGTGAGGATTCAAGTCTTGCCGTCTCAATTAAAATGCTAAATATAGTTGATTTTTTTATTCTATGGTGTTAGTTTCAGCTTACTGAACAAGAGAGTCTGGGCCATATCCTTCAATATTGTACAATTTCTTTTGCCACACTAATTTACAGCAGCTGAGTATCTGGCTGTGTATACTTATTTATCATGGGGTTCTTTTTTGTGGTTATCCCTTTAATATCTTAATATTCATAAATACTTTATGTATCTGTTTCAGGGTTGGGATAATGCAGTAAAAAGAAAAGGAAAGATGGAGTAAGGGAGGAATAGGAAGAATTATACTTTCAACTTTGGACTTCAGTGGCACTTTCCAAATGAGGGTCTCAAAATGAGATCAGAGCTATCATAATCAAAGGAGAAGGGGAGTTTTCTACCTTTTACCTTAAAATGTTTTAGTTCACTTGGCAAATGATGAATGAGTGGCCATTATCTAATCTGTCCCCCATGCTACAGGCCCCATTGCCACTCAGATGCATATTCAAATGGTTCATTGGAGCTAACCGCATCATTTTTATGCTGGTCAATTGGTTTTTTCCTTCTAATTGCCAGCAATATTTAACCCATTTTGTGTAAATTGCTAGTATTAAATTTCCAACTGTGTTGAATTGCTGGCAAAAGCTTAGCCCAGTGTTTACAAAATAGCTAATACAAGCACTAATCATAATTGCAGTGAAGTTCAGTGTAACACAAAAAAATGGAGGCTAGGAAAAATAACCTCCAGAATGTTAGGTCGTTCGGTTTGGTTTGGTTTTTTCCCCATGGAATTATACAGATTCTTGACTGAAGTCAGGGGCCCACAACTCATGAGAATCAAATTAAAAGCCAATTATTAACTTCCCCAGGCTTGGGCCATCTTTTAACTGCTCCAGTTCAATGGTGTAAATAATAACACTGGCCTTTTTAATGTTCTAACTTACACTGGCAGGCAATGCCTGAAGTATCTATTATGACAGCTAGGGAATGCCAGATTGCAGGGAAGCCCCCCAGCCATGGCATCTACCATAATAACAGGGAGTAACTGGCAAAGTGCCACCATGTCAGTGCTATACTACCAAAGAATCCCTGGCCACTATTATATCTTGATGCCATTGTGGAAATGGTGCTTCTCCAGATACTGCTACATACTAAATAGGAACTGTGCAGGAAAAATACCTGATGTGCACATACATAGAGGGAGTAATTAACTAATTTTTTAAGTAGAGATGTTGTGAATCTTTTCATTGCAGTTATTTTCCATCAAAAATGCCCTTTTTGCAATATTTGCAACATTTTCTACAAGAAAACTTCAATTTTTATTGAAAAAATCCATTTTTCCATTGGGATGACAAATGATCATTTGGAAGGCTCTTGTCAATTTCACTTTACTCAAACAGTCAGAAAGTGAAACTGTCAAAAGCTTTTGAGGGGTGTTGCTATGGCTGAGTGCACTCCTACTCTGTGCCTCCCTAGCTTTCAGACTCCTCCTTCATATTGGGCCAAAGAGGTTGGGTACCTGGGCTCTCTGCCTTGCCAGTTCCCAGAGATGAGAAGGCTGGACAACTGGACTTTATAGCTGCTGTCCCTGGCACAAAGGCTGAGCTCTAGTTGTTCAGGTATAGCTGGAGTAGGAGACCTTAAACCAAAAAAGATACGTAGTTGTATCCCAGATTGGGGTTGGCTGTTGATTGAATGTTGACTGTATACTGGGGAAGTCTCCAAAGCTCTCAGATGGCCAGACCTGCAGTAACCACATTCGAAGGAGAGAAAGCAAAATATAAGGTGAGATGTAGTCACGCCACTATTGAACAGAGGAGGCAATAGATACACCAAGCAATAAGATTAACATGCTAATCTCCATGAGAAAAGAATTTCTCTATAAGAACAGAATGATTCCCTCCAAACCAGAATGATTCCAACCCACTCTAAAACTCCCCGAAAAAATAACTCAAACTGAAAAACTGCAAAGACTGTTGAAATCAGTGGGAGAGTTATATGAGGATCAGTGCAGATCCCAAATTCAAATCCCATTGAAGTCAAAGAGAGTATTCCCACTAACTTCAATGGGTTTAGATGAAGCCTCTATGGGCACAATGTGCTCTAGACATCTATGTTGCAGATAAGAGAAATATTTAGAAATTAGAGATTTTTCAAAAATGAAGAGTGCTTGGAACTAAAGTAATATTTTTTCATATATTTCATACTAAATCACAGCATAAGCAGGGCTATATGCACTGGCCTTGTTCAATTACGTAATAAGATATTGAATGCCTCATTTGATTTAGAAAGTAATATAGCTTATTAAAAAGATAGTAAGAAATCTGTAATAATAACAAGGTGTTTCTAATTGGGCATCATGAATGTAGAACACTTCCTCCATTAGATTTAGTTTTATTAGAGAATTTAGATAGGCTTTTGAATAGTGCAGAGCAAAATTCAACAAATCATACTTAAATGGTTGATGATGGAAAAATAATAACATTGGAATCTATGGAGCTGATCTTGTAACTATTACTCATCTAGTCATATTGACTTCACTTGTACTACTTGTGAGAGTATAAAAGCACTATGAGTCCCTAAAGGGCAAAATACTGTGGACACTAGTTAACTACTTCCAGAGAAATCAAGAGACTTATTCTACTGCCTTCAAGTTAGTGGAAGAACTCCTGTTGCCTTCTACTACTGCAGGGTCTTGCTCTTTGTATATAAAGAAAGCTTTTTGTCTTTTATTGTAAGGGACAATTCTACCAAGCATCATGCACATAACATATTATAGCAGGGCTGTGATCACCCTTCACATAATATCAGTGTTTACATGTTCTTCTAAGAGTGGGTGTGTTGCTTCATTAGTTGTAAATGTTAAAACAATATAAAAATAATATTAGACACTGCTGTTTCATTTAATGTTTTGTTTTGTGTAACCAGGGACCTTTTGGAATTCAGCCTCCTTCAATACTGAGACCTCATATCTTCATTTCCCTACTTTCCATGGAGAACTCAGCGCAGATGTGTCTTTTTTCTTTAAGACTACAGCTTCCTCTGGTTTGTTTTTAGAGAACCTGGGAATTAAAGACTTCATAAGGATAGAGCTGCATTGTAAGTCATATTTAATAAAGGAGATTTTTGGTTTTAACTTTCATTTAGATTGACAAAAATAGCACTTTGGAATGCTGAAGCTCAAATGAGAGAATACCACATTTTCCATATTAGGCAATAGTGTCATTTAATTGTCTTCAATTAGAATGGTGTGAATTGGTGTTAAGTACACTGATATAATAGGCTCAGAGAGTCATGAAATACAAGAAACTTCAATAACATACTCTGGTTTAGTGTTTCAGAGCAGAATCTCAAAAGCGATAATGACATGCTTGTAGGATGTTGATGTTCCAAGCTCAAGATGCTGATACTTCAAAACAAATGTTATAATGATGTGGAATACACCCGTCCATATTAGGAAAGCATTGAATGAATACTAAATAGGAGAAATTCAGTCATCCTTCATGCAAAGAATCTTTCCAATTCAGTTGGGATACGTCTAGATTACAGGCTTTGTCGACAGAAGCTTTGTAGACAGGTACTGTCAGCAAAGCCTTTTTCAACAAAGAGCATCTAGACTGCATCCAGTTCTGTCGACAAAGCAAGCCGCTTTGTTAACATGAGAGTGTAGACGCAAAGGACAGTGTAGATGCAATAACGCCTTCTGTCAGCAGAACTCTGTCTACAAAAGGCGTTATTCCTCGTAGAATGAGGTTTACTGCTGCCGAAAAACTACCGAGTTCTGTCGATGTTATGTCAACAGAACTTGGCAGTAGTGTAGACGCAGGTATAGTTTTGTCAACAAAAGTCCACTTTTGTCAACAAAACCCGGTAGTCTAGACACAACTTGGAGATCATAAGACCCTTATGTATTGTCAGAAATACTTGTATTCAGACACACCTATTTCATGCCTACTCCTACCATTGCAATCCTCATAACTCTTCTTCACACAATGCCTATATTATTCACATGATAACTTATGACTAGTGAAATCGGAGGGAAGAAAGTTAGTTGTGGTAAACCCATTGCTCAGTGGGACCAGTTTTGACACTGAGTGGCTTTAAAAAAAAAGAATAAAAAAAACTTTGCCCCTGTTGTGAAGGATTTAAAAACTAATCTTTGCTTCATTCACAATCATTTGCATACAGCCACTTGTAAATAGCTTAGTTAATAAGGGTTGTTTGTAGAGGTGACCGAGTTCTGTTTGTGTAATGAAGATAAGATTGTTTGGATCTTATTGCTCCTTTGGTCACAGAATTTGAAGGAAAAATAAGGGAGTCCCTTATATTGAGATTTGAATTATAGTAAACTTTGATACTGACAGTGGTGTTGACATATTTGTTAACAGGGATTGATTAACTGTAACTATTGAGTGGCTGCATCCTTTTCATTTTGAGAGATCTCATAATAAAGTACTGGGTAAATGCAAATAGGCCCCAAGGATTCTCTCAGAGTAGATCCCATATTGTTGCTCTTCTAGCACCACTAGAAATAATAGTAGGGAGTATTGGCTTTAATACTTCAATAAGTTGATTTTTAGCTATCTTTTTTTCATCTCTTTCGGTCTCTAGTCTAGAAAGGAATGTATTCAATGTGTAGCAGAGATTGGGATGCAACTGAAAGTTGGGTGACTGAAAGTTAAATCAGACAAAAACTCAGATAATGCTCACAGGAAGTGAAAAACATTGTAAGGGGTAACAGAAATGATATCTGTACTATGAAATACAAAATACAATCATAATTGGTTTCTAAGGCACATTTGGTGCCTTAGAGCATCTAGAAATGATATCTGTACTATGAAATACAACATACAATCATAATTGGTTTCTACGGCACATTTGGTGCCTTAGAGCATGGTGGCTGTTCAGGTATCAGCAGTTCTCCAAAGAACTTACTGGCATTTGAGAAGGAGCAATGGAATGAATGGTTTAGAGAGAACACTGATAAGGAACTTTGTGTCTTAGAATCATAGAGCTGGAAGAGACCTCAGGAGGTCATCAAGTCCAGTTCTCTGCCCAATGCAGAACCAATCCCAACTAAATCAATCCATCCAGGGCTTTGTCATATCTGTGTGGATCTCTTTCACCATGAGGTTGTATTACTTCAGAGCATTTGACATAGGCTGCTTCTTCAAACCATTTAGGAATAGCAGTTAATGCAGATTGTAGTGGCATATTTTTGAAGTTGCTTCACACAGAGATCATATTACATATAAGTTTCATGAACTACATAGCAGTAGCTTTCACATACTTTTTGAGTAACACCTACATTCTCGGCTTTGATGTATTAACCCCTATTTATATGTGTTTTGAAAGATGAACAAATTGAACAACTGCTTTTAGTACAAATGCTAAATTTCTGGTGCTAAATATTTCACGGTGTCATTTGAGTTTTATCACTGTATATTAATATTTAATATGTTTAACTCTAAGTTACCAACTTGCTCTTAACATGGTATCAGCAGTTCCATGTAAATCAATGTCTTATGCTTGATTTGTTTAATAATAAATAATGGTGATTAATATGTCAAGTTTAAGATAGTATATAAAATATGGGGATATATTATACATGATTTAAAACTCATTTTGACAGTAATATATGGCACTGCATAGTTGCTAACACAGGAACAATTTTATTATTTAGTATTTTATTGCTTGCATGCAGCTTTACATTTGTCTTTAAGTAAGTGATCTTAAGATCTTAAGATATTTAAGGTTCTATCCTTAATTTTTTTTTCTCTGAGTAAGGTTCATTAGATAAAACTTCTTATTAGAAAACCCTGTTCTTTTAAGTCATAAAAGTTACCATCTGTGAGGAAAGATGTTCCCGAAACCGTCTTCTAAAATATAGAAAATAGAAGTTAGCTTACTGAGTGTCTAACTTGTTTTTGAAAAAAATAATCAATGGTACTGATAATTACAGTGTCAAGGTGTCAACAGCCAATTAGCATGTTGGCAGGAAATATTTTTTTATTCACACTGAAAACTAAAGAGGTTTGCACAGTCACTGTTCCCTCATACTTGCTATGATGACATAACCTGCATTCAAGCTGCAAACAAATTATTGCTCTCAGTAGCTAATAGTGTGAGGCTGGAATATTCCTCCATTAAAACACCCTCATTGCTGTGGAAGCTTTGTCCACAAAAACATGTTACCATGCTATCATAAACAAAAGAAGAAAATTATATGACAGGTGTTTTGAGGAACTAGTCCTCTCTACCATTTAATAAATTTATTTTTATGACCCAAGATTCAAAACTTCCTTGTGGGTGCGAGCTTACTTAAATAGACGGATGCTCATGTATTACTTCTAGCTCCATCTGCAGTGACATTTTCATTCGATGTGGGAAATGGACCATTTGAAGTTACAGTGCAATCACCCACTCCCTTAAATGACAACCAGTGGCATTATGTGAAGGCTGAAAGAAACGTCAAAGAAGCATTGCTACAAGTGGATCAGCTACCCCAAAGGGCTCTGACTGCACCATCTGATGGGCATATCCGTTTGCAGCTGAACAGTCAGCTATTTGTAGGTGAGTGTCCCCTTTTTTCCTTATTACATGCATGTGAGGGTAGAAGAATTAGTAGCAACCAGTGGCTTTTAAATACAGTTAATATAGTGTGATGAAGATCTTAAAATAAAAGTGGGAGAAATACAATATTTTCATTCTACTTACAAATTCAAGACTTGAGCCTGTAGTTCTTCCTCAGGCAAAATTCACATTCGATTTAATTGAATTCTTGACCGAGTAACAACTGCAGGGTCTTGACACCCGCCTTTGGACTAGCACTTTTAATAAAATAAATATGCCGGTGTTAATTAATATGCAGATAATCTGAGGGAGGCTGTGGTTTGTTCTTTCAAAACCCATAGCAGGGCAGATATTTATTTCGGTCACCATACAGTCATGCTATAAGGGCATAACAACTGGGATTTCTTGCTGATTGGTTCTGGGTCTGGATCTGTTCAATGTTTCATCAATGATTTAGATAATGGTATAGAGAGTACACTTATAAAGTCTGCGTATGTTACCAAAGTTGGAAGAGTTGCAAGTACTTTGGAAGATAGGATCATACTTTAAAATGATCTGGACAAACTGCAGAAATGGTCCGAGGTAAATAGGGTAAAACTCAATCAGGACAAATGCAAAATACTTCATGTAGAAAGGAACAATCAATTGAATACATGTCTACCTATGTGCAAATTGGGTACCTTATTTTGAGCTTATTTTGAAATCGACGGCTGTTCAGACAAGTCTCTTAATCCTCATGGAATGAGATTGTCGTGTGGTTCGATTTGTTTTAGATCCAAGGGAAACCAGGACGCTCCAGGACTACTTAACTACTTTCTTATTTATTGCAAGCTTTAAGCAGTTAATACAGTTGTTTAAGTTTTACAAGCCTTAAACACAATTACTATACAATTTAAACCTTAAATACTATAGATTCTAAAGCAATAATGCAGTGCAAAGCAATGCAAAAGCAATTACTGAAAGATCTACTATAATACAATAATAAAGCCTAATTCACTTACACTTCACCTGTGTACTTTCTACAGTACCAGGCAGGAGGTCGTGGTTCCTTTTCTTCCCACTCAATGGAATGCCATACACTGGGCCGCCAATGTGAAGGCCTATTTACTTCTAGTTACATCGAGCAGGATGTGTGGGTCAATCCTGCCCATTCCCTCCCATCGATTGTTCTTACTAAGCCCAATTTATAGCAAAATAAGACTTGGTCACTCTAATAATATTTACCAGTTGATTACGTATTGTGCAGGATATGTAAAATACCCAGTGCCCCTATTTGGGGTACAGACTCCTCAGGATGTTGCTTAAAACTGTATGTGTAGTTGACAGTTTTATGACTTCATCTGTAATTTTTCTTATCAGAACAAAAGTACCAGTACAAGGTTGCTTGTACTGTGTTCTTGACGTGGTCTTGCGTACCATGGTTAATCTGCATAGTTATTCAAAACAATTCCTGACTCTCACAGCTTCCCTTATCCCAAAACATGCCTGTGTGCTTATGTGCACCAGACTTGAGCCAGTCTGGGCTTTACTTTTAGGGATTTGCAGTCAATCTCCCAGAGTTCAGTTTAGTGGGTCTAGTGAAGACACGCTAAATCAAACGCAGAGGGCACCCCAGTCGGTGCTGGCACTCCAAAGGCGTAAGGGAAAATGACAGGATCATTTGCTCCTGTCACCCTCCCCCTGTGTGGATAGCAATTTAAGACACGTCAACTCTAGCTATACAATTCACGTAGCTGGAGTTGCATATCTTAGCTTAACCTTCCACTCCAGTGCAGACCAGACCTAAAAGTTTGTTACAAGGAGGAGGGAGAAAAATTATTCTTTGTAACCTCTGATAATAGGACAAGAAGCATTGGTCTTGAATTGTAGCAGGATGGTTTAAGTTGGACCTTAAAAAATTTGTTTATAACCATCAGGGAAGTTAGCTACTGGAATAAATTGCTTAGGGTAGTTGTGGAATCTCCATCACTGGAAATTTTTAAGAGCATCTGCTACATGGCCCTTGGCCCTCTCAGAGTGCAGGGGATTGTACTTACTGAATTCTTGAGATTCCTTCCAGTCCTGTGATTCTATACTTTGGGGAAGTGATTTTTACTGAAAAATCCTATCATTTTCTATCTTCTACTTAATATAGGTTGAACCTCCCTTTCTGGCATCCTTGGGGGAATTTGCTAGATTGGGGAAATCAGGCTTTCCAGGCTCTCCCAAGGCTCCCCTCCTGGCAGCTGCCCTGGGAGATCCCAGAGACCTGACCTCCTCTGGCCCAACTGCCTGAGTCTCCTGCCCCCAGCCTGCTCACGGGGCTCTGCTCCCTGCCCCCAGCTCCATGCCTGTAGCAGCCGCACATGGGGTTCCCCTACCGCATCCTGCCCCCAGCCTGCTCACGGGGCTCTGCTCCCTGCCCCCAGCTCCATGCCTGTAGCAGCCGCACATGGGGTTCCCCTACCCCATGTGCAGCGGCAGGAGCCGCGCCCCCGGGGCAGCCCCACACGTGGATGCAGCTACTCCTGGGGTTCCCCAGCCCCACACACAGATGCTCCCCAGGCTCTCTATCCTCAAGTCACTGCCCCTGCAGGCTGCCACCAACCAAACTGGCTCTATTTCCAGCTGCTCTCAACCTTTGCAGCTGGGACTCTTTGATCTAGCAACATCCGTGGTCCTTTCCAGACCAGGGAGTCCCAGACGAGAGACGTTCAACCGGTATATGGAGGAATTCCCAGTAATATAATTAAATTTGTGCTTGTGAAGCTCTTTGAACATAGAAATGCGATATAAGTGCTGTGTGATATATAAATGTTAGTAATGTCCACAAAAAATGCACAGTATTATTTGTTGGTAACATAAGCTTCATGTAATGCCTTTAAAAATGTAGTCTTGAAGACAAGATAATTATAAGACAAAAAGCATTGAGGGGTCCACATTAGAGTTAGTTTTTGTTTTTGTTTTGTTTGTTGCATACTTGGGAGGAGTTCGCAATTAAACCAGAGAGGAACAGGATTGTGGGCCAGGTGAAAGATAATTCTTAATGGAATTATTTTATTGAAGAGGAACTAGAGCTCCGTACACAGGGATTGGGATTTTGTTTTGTGTGTAGAGAAGCATGCCAATAGTAGTGGGATAATGAAACAAATGGGGTGGTGAGGCTGATGTTTTTGGCAAAGGGAGGAAGATGCAGAAAGAAAGGAAATATGAAATGTTGGCCAGAGCGGAGTATCCTTAAATGTGTTTAAAAATAGGGACAAGTGCATTCAAAGGAAGAAACTGAAAGGGTGACTGCTGTTTAATAAGTGACAATGATCTCCTGTCATATGGTGTCGCAGTATAATTCCTGTAGCATAAACAGTTGAAATTAGACCAGTTTGAATTCTGCGAGTTCTAGATTATTCAACCTGTATCCAGAATTTGGTCCACAAGAGTTACAAATGGTCTGATCTCTGCAGATTCTCTTGAAGTTTTATACAGAGTAACCTAGCTATTTCGTAAGTATTTATGGGTGACACCTCTCTGCCAGCCTCAGTATATAGAGTCTTCCAACTGCTTTTGCACTATAGAGGTCTTCTGCCCTCTACCCCAACCCCAAAAGTTCCTTTGTGGCCTAAGAGCAATAGTGCTAATAGATGGAACTGGATCTAGTGAGCCCCCACAACGTCAATGTTTTTTTGCTATTGCTCAAAGTTCTGTAGGCTGTGTAGTTTGTAGCAATGGTCCCACACTAAATCAATGTGGCTACTGCTGGAGTGGTCTGGAGCATGGCTTCAGCTGAGTGGTTGCAACCACATCTCCCTTTTTATATAGAAACAGGCAGGCCAAAATTCAATAAGTACTATTGCCACCTGTGTAACAACACCATTTAAATTTGGCTCAGCCGCCCCTCCACCTAGATAGCCAGGTGCCTGAATGAAATGGTGTTGCAACCTGGCATGTAGGAAGCCTCTCCCTGTATGATGAATTGCAAGGAAGTCTGTTGAAGTTGATTCCTTGTGTCACTGTGTGGATAAGAGATACTGATGATTCCTGAAGGAACCTGTTGAGGGTGTGGAGTGAATGTTATGGCAGGAGTGTGCTGGACTAGGTTGAGAGCTTATTAATGAGGTTCAAACCTACTAACTTTTGATTCCTAATGGCTTGCAAGAAGCTGGTGGCTAACTACTGAAGAACAGGGTTGTAAAAAGCCATATGCTAAGCAACTAGAGGAGCTAGTGAATAGGAGATCCAAAAAGGGAGTTTTTTGAGAGAGTTGAGCGGGGGTATATGAGAGGCAGATACCCCAAACAAGCTTGAATTTCCGCAAAAGCACTGACGATCTCATGTAAGATTGTCAGTGCTTTTGCGGAAATATTATGCTGCTCCCGTTCAGGCAAAAGTCTTTTTCTGAAAAACGTCTGCGCAAAAGGGCCAGTGTAGACAGCAGAGATTTGTTTTCCGCAAAAAAGCCCCGATCACGAAAATGGCGATCGGGGCTTTTTTGCGGAAAAGCGCGTCTAGATTGGCCACAGACGCTTTTCCGCAAAAAGTGCTTTTGTGGGAAAGCGTCCTGCCAATCTAGACACGCTTTTCTGAAAATGCTTTTAATGGAAAACTTTTCTGTTAAAAGCATTTCCGGAAAATCATGCCAGTGTAGACGTAGCCTAACACTATTAGGATATAGAGCTAACAGGTCTGAAACTCACGTGTAAGATGAGAAGGTTTGAAATGTGGTTGAAATAGTCAGTATTAACTCTCAGATTGTAATCATGCTGGTTCTGTCTGTTTGCCCCTCTAACAGCCCCCTTCAGTCCTCCTGTAACTCAGACATTTACAGAAAGTGGATGAATTACCTCTCCACTGCCTGTTTTGTGTTGTCAGTTTGCCTCTCCTCTGCCAGACACACCTGCTGGGTGTCCTATAACTATCTCTGCCCTTGTGCAGGGAGTTCCTTTCAACTCCATGGGCTTAGCCGAACAACCTGCTGGGCTCTGCAGTTCCTATGATATAAAATGGTGACTTCTGTTATTAGCAAT